TTTACTCTACAATTTTCAGTCAAAGTATCAGTCATACTCATCATGTTCCGACACTAGAATCGAAATGGCGGCCTCTAGGGTGAGTGAAGCAAAAGAGTATGTTAGCGTAGCATCTTTATCTGTAGTATCTAGGAGATATAGAGATAAAGAAAAATCAAAAACAAAATAAAAAAAAAGTGGAGAGAGAAAAGGGAAAAGATCTTACAGAAGAACGTCGACATTAAATTAGCGATACTCCGTCCTATGTGTGGCTTTTATTGCACCGCTTTCGTTTTAACTAAAATTCAATAGTTAAATTAGTTATTTTACAACCAATAATATTAAAAACAAGTTAAATAACCCACCCAACGCAACTTCTTTTATTTTGATTGAACTGATGGTAGCGAAATTTGGCGAAAACCAACTTTTACTCTATAAATGTTACTCTGATTGACTTTCAGTCAGAGTATCGATCATAGTAAGAACCCTAATTTCGTCCGTTCGTCTTCTTTGGTGGTTTCTTGGTTACGAGTAGGTTTAAGAGTCTTGTAAATGGCGTTTAGAGATGGAAAGTCTATACCTGATTCAGTAATGTCGGTAAAAAGTGTCAAATCTAGACCTGATAGCGACTCCAAAGCTAAGCGACACAAAGTTAGCTCAACTTTTCCTAGATTCTACTTTTAAGAAATGTATTGCACCTTCTATTCTATGGGTTTTGTTTTCTGACGCTGAAAACTCCTAAAGAATCGTGTTGAGCTAAGAAGGATGGTGTCAATCCTTTAACAGAATATGTCGATCATCCATTTAGTACATCAGTTGATAATTTGTGATCTATTTCAAGTAGTGCAATCTAGTTTCTGCCTCTTGAATTTTTATTTACATTTTATGGTAGGAGAATCCGTTTCACTTGTTCCTCCATCCCCCGACATAACCACAAAGAACACATCTGAGCAGCAACTGAGCAGCTTCAGAAATGTTTTGGCCACTGAACTAATGGTAATGGCCTTTTTACCCCGGCTTGAAACATACTGATTCTTTCTTCAATTATTGTGGTGCTTGTTATCTTAGCCTTTTGATAATCATATGTTGGTTTTACACTTTTTATGAAGTTGCTTGATACGAAGATTACCAGAGCCAGAGGTGATCAGCCTAAAGGTGATTGTGGGAAAAGAAGAAAAGTTGAACAGTCGGACCTTAATGGAACTAGTATGTCTAACCTGTATAAATCTGGGAAACGTCGCATTGAGAAAGATAGAAAAATGAAACTGTGGATGGGTTTATTGACGCATTCTACTTTGCTTTGTTTTTAGGTGTTGGCCTTGTTGGCATGGATAATGGCCACAGCTGTAATGATTACGATGATGAAGATGTTCTGATACCGACATCAAAGTAATCGTAATTATGATTAATTACGATTACTTTGTTTTTAGTTATAAAACGAAAGCGGTGCAATGAGAGAGCCACACGTAGGACGGAGTATCGCTAATTTAATGTCGAAGTTCTTCTGTAAGACCTTTTCTCTCCACTTTTTTTGTTTTTGATTTTTCTTTATCTCTATATTCTCCTAGATACTATCGATAAAGGTGTCCTACGCTAGCATAATGTTTTGCTTCCCTCACCTTAGACGCTGTCATTTCGATTCTAGTGTTGGAACATGATGAGTATTACTGATACTTTGACTAAAAGTTATAGAGTAAAAGTTGGTTTTCACCAAGTCACGACTAGCATCATTCAAAATAAAAGTAGTTACGCTGGGTGGAGTAAATTCGTTTGGTTTTCCTCTTATTTTCGTTTTCACCCATTTTCTCCACATTTATCCTCGATACTCTTGTCTAATCACACTCTAAATAACCACTTTAAAGTTTGACGGAAAACAAACACTTTAAAGTAAATGTGATTTTTTAAAATTGTGATTTAATCTAGTTTTTGCTCCAAGATAAAAAAAAAATATATTCCACCTATCTTTTGGGTAGATAAAACCTTTAACTGAAAAAGGTTTAAATCATTTTCCTACTTTTGGGTAGATAAAACCTTTACTCCAATTTATATTTCTTGTTCGTTCTCTCTTCTCTTTTTTTTCCCTATGCTTACACTATGCAGGATCACATTTGGTGTTCTTTGTCCTTGAATTTGTTAGTGGTGGTCGGTGTAACTCTCAAGTTCAAGCCATTTCTAACCACGGCTAGAAGGTGAAATGCATTGGAACTGGTGATAGGGTAATGTATGAGGACTCGTTGATTCTTTTAGTTCTAGATTTGAAAAAAAAAAAAAACTTAAATGTCGCTAACCTTAGGCTTCCAGTTTCTTTTCCTTTGCTTTAATAAGTGTGATTTTCTACCAAAGATTATAGAAACATCAATAACATTACCATTTTAATAAGCGTTAGGGGTTGTTGATCCCATAGAAGAAATGGATGTGTGAAGGATCTATTGGAAATTTTAAGGCGCTTACACTATTTTTGTGGAGGATCTATCTGATAGATTGTTAAAAAATGAGCTACCATGTTCGAATAAATGAATGTAGTTTAGATTATTTTCAAAATTTGCTTGATTATTTTGAATTGATAAAGTCCACACAATCCAAATTTACATGTTCAAATAATGTAATGCCTTTTTTAGGTAGCATATCTTTATTAATAGAGTTGAACGAAGACAAAGAGGAAATAAATTTCATCCTCATGTTTGTCCTACAAATATACAGAAAACGTTATAGATGCTAAAGAGAGTAAGGTGACATCTCCCTAGTGACTAGAAAAGAGTAGAGAGTAAACTTACCATATTCTCCTCTTACTTCCCATTTTTTTCTGGATTCATTATGGAGGAAGAGTATACAGAGTGTTTGCTGGATAATATGTTCCATGAGAATTGCCCTGGCTGCAAGGTAGATCAGATGAAGAGGCTTCGCAGTGGTTTCCCCCTCTCCGAGCTTTGTTCCATTTGGATCATCGTCCTAGGCTCAGGCAATTTCTTCCATGTTCTTATTACATTTCATGAAGATTCAAGAAGAAATGTTTCATTCTTTGTCTTACAAAAAAAGTTTGTTTTTGATCATTGTTTTCAGCTCTGCCTATCACCTCTCTTTTCCCATTCCTTTACTATATGGTGAGTGAGCTAGTAACTTAAAGTAGTTTACTCAGTTAAACTAATATAGTTAAGTAACGTGCTGCTTTTGGATTTGCTGATGGAATAGTAAAAACTTGTAACTCTAGAATCTCTTGTACTTTATTGTTTGTGTGTGGTAGATTGGTGATTTGAACATAGCAAAGAAGGAAGAGGACATTGGGTTCTATGCTGGATTTGTTGGTGAGTCTTCGTCATGTTAATCTCTCTCTCTCTCTCTCTCTCTTTCTCTCTTTTATTGGACCACTCTAGGCTATTTAAGACTTCAGGACAATCAAAAGCCTTTTCAGACTCACATATGTCTCTCTATGTATAACTTTGAAGGTTGCTCTTTCATGCTTGGACGAACGTTGACTTCTGTCATTTGGGGAGTTGTGGCTGACCGTTACGGAAGAAAACCAGTAATCCTCATTGGAACTGCTTCAGTGTTAGTAATCTTACATCTTTTTTATTTTAATTCTTCATCTCTCTAATATTTTGTTTTATTTCTTATCTAAAACAATGCTTTCTCACAGGGTCATTTTCAATACTCTCTAAGTGTAAATTTCTGGATGGCCATCATCACTAGGTTTTGCCTCGGTAGTTTCAACGGTTTACTTGTTCCTCTAAAGGTCCTTTCAACATTTCTGCATACTTATTCCATTTAACTTGTTGAAGTTCATTAAACCAAAAAATGTTGATGTGTTTAGGATTAACATTCCGTGATGAATATCATGGATTAGCACTCTCAGCTGTAAGCACTTTGATCCAATGTTTAAGATACTTACATTCCTAATTGAATAGAGAAACTTAGAATCTTGTCACATGATGTAGGTTAGTACAGCATGGGGCATTGGACTCATCATTGGCCCTGCTATGGGAGGCTTTTTTGCTCAGGTTTTCTCAGTAACAAAATGCATTTCAATCATCTTTTTTTCTCACTCACCCTTCTTGATTGATTCTTGTTTAAATCTTGTAAGCCTGCAAAGCAATATCCAAGTTTATTCTCAGAGGAATCAATTTTTGGAAAGTAAGTATTACCTTCTTTCTTTACCTCCTCTACATTTTCATTCAAAAGTCTCATTGGTCTATAAATCATAATGCAGATTTCCCTACTTTTTACCGTGCTTAGTGATATCTTGTTTTGCAATTTTGGTGACCATTATCTCATTGTTCATTCCGGTACGCTCTTTACTTTCTCTTGCTCCATAGAAATCCCTAGTCACTGTGCTTAGCTTAAGCCTAGAAATGGTTTTTCCTTCTTTTTTTTTTATTCTGCAGGAAACATTGCACAATCACAAGATTGATGATCATGTATCACATGATGAGTCTTTTGATGCTTGCTCTCTCCTGAAGAACTGGTCACTGATTTCATCTATTTTCGTCTACTGCATCTTTGCACTTCATGATATGGCTTACACTGAGGTGTGCTCCACTTCCTCTTTGTTTTATTTGACCCAAAAATATAATCTGCAGCTTTTCTTTCTCCGATAGATCTTTTCATTGTGGGCAAACAGTCCAAGGAAATATGGAGGTCTGAGCTACTCAACCAATGATGTCGGTACAGTTCTTGCAATCTCAGGTATGTCTATCATCCTTGCTCTTCATGTCTCCTGTGTTAATGATGATTAGAGCCTGCTATAGTCAAGAATTAAGCAATAAGGAATGAGTATAATTCCTACTAATGAAACTGAGACTTGTGTTATTATTTACTAATCAACAATTCTGCTTTAGGTCTCGGCCTATTCTGCTTTCAGGTTTTTGTTTATCCTTTGGCTGAGAGATTGCTAGGACCTGTGTTGGTCACCCGTTTTGCTGGGGTCAGTTGATATTCTCTTTGAATGTGGCTTGTGGTTATGTGCAGTTGATTAGTAATGCAACAAGATATAAATACCTTATTCTAACCGTTTCCTTTTGTTTCAGGCGCTGATGATACAAATACAGATGAGTTATCCATTTATAGCTAATTTATCAGGTCTGAGTTTAAGCTTATCGTTGAACTGTGCATGGATCCTCATCAATGTGCTAAGTGTAAGTCCAAAAATGCTAATCTCCGCTGCTTATGATCCTTCTGACACTTTTGATTTTTGTGAATATAGGTGTCTGCCATAACCGGCTTGTTGATCCTGCAAAATAAAGCTGTGGTAAAAGAAATATTATATTCTTTTTATAAGTAGTGGACCAAATTTCTCTTGTCTTATTATGTTCTGTAATTAACAACAGGATCAAAGTCAGAGAGGGGCAGCTAATGGAATTGCTATGACTGCCATGTCTCTCTTTAAGACCGTTGGACCAGCTGGAGCTGGCATCTTGTAAGTGTCTCTTCCTAATGAACATATATACATGAATTTAAAGAAGTAATGTCTTAAAATGTAACTCTATTGTTGGCAGATTTTCTTGGAGTGAGAGGCGACTAAACGCCTCATTTCTACCAGGTATCATCGCATAACTTCCCTTCGGGCCATCCCTTTATGATGTGATATTCATAATACCTTATGCTTACACTATGCAGGATCACATTTAGTGTTCTTCGTCCTGAATGTGATGGTGGTGGTTGGTGCAGCTCTTACGTTTAAGCCGTTTCTAACAACGGCTAGAAGGTGAAACTCATTGGAATTGGTGAATAGGGAAATGTATTGGACTCGTTGATTTTTTTAGTTTTAGATTTGGAAAAAAAAAAACTTAGTGAAATCATGTCATTAACTTTTAGTATTCCAGCTTTTTCCTTTTGTTTTGGTAAGTGTGATATTCTACCAAAGATTATAGAAACGTCAATGACATAATAACTGTACCATTTTAATATGCGTTAAGGGTTGTATAGAAGAAATGGATTACATCCTGAGGTGATCTGTTACAACCATTTCAGTTCTCTCCAAGATGTCCTTGATTATGGTTAAATCGATACAGTCCACACAATATGATTTAGCATGTTCAAATAATGTAATGCCTTTAACCACAGAAAAACACACACACAAAGGACTAGGAGAACTAACTACATCAGCTATTATATTCATATTAATTTTAAGTTTCTCGATAAAGTCGTATCTTCCTGTGCAAGTAAGTGCCTCTCTTTTTTAGGTAGCATATATTTACTATTTGTTAATAAATTGGACCAAAAAAATAGAGTTGACCAAAAAAGATTCAATCTTAGTCTTGTCCTAAAAAATATACAGAAAAGGTTATAAATACGAAAGGGATTAGTAATGTAACAAATCTGACATCTCTCTGGCGACTGGCGAAGAGTAGAGAGTAAAACACACAGCATCTTCTCCTCATCTTCCCATTTTTTTTCTTGATTCTGTATGGCTGAAGAGTATACAGAGTGTTTGCTAAAGAATGAGTTTCATGAGAATTGCCCTGGCTGCAAGGTCGATCAGATGAAGAGGCACCAAGGATTCCCTTTCTCCGAGCTTTGTTCCATTTGGATCATCGTCCTCTGCTCATGTTATTTCTTCTTCATGTTCTTATTACATTCAATGGAGATTCAAGAAGAATATGTTTTCCTTCTTTGTCTTAGAAAAAGTTTTATTTTGTTTTGTTTTTGATCATCGTTTCAGCTCTGCCCATCTCCTCTCTTTTCCCATTCCTCTACTTCATGGTGAGTACCTACATAGTACTAGACTATTGTGTTGGTGCTTTCTGTCACTCATATATATTCTCTCCATAATATTTCTGAACTATTCATACATATTAAGAAAACAAATCAATTTTATCATAAATCATTTTCTGTGAATATCAATTCTTCAATAAAGTTAATTTAATAATAAAACTCATTTAATTTTTTTAAAATTATATTTTGTGGAACGGAAGGAAGGAGTATTAGAATAGTAACTGCTCTTTTGGATTTGGTGATTACTTAGTAAAACTTGCAACTCTAGAATCTGTTGTGCTTTTATTGTTTGTGTGTGGTAGATTGGTGATTTGAACATAGCAAAGAAGGAAGAGGACATTGGGTTCTATGCTGGATTTGTTGGTGAGAGCTTATTAATCTCTCTTCTTTTGTTTTATAAGTATATATAATAACCAAGAAATTCAGTACAAAGTACTAGGCCTTTTCAAACTCACCTTGTCTGTCTATATATATAACTTTGAAGGTTCCTCTTTCATGATTGGAAGAGCGTTGACATCTGTCATCTGGGGAATGGTGGCTGATCGTTACGGTAGAAAACCAGTAATACTCATAGGAACTGCTTCAGTGTTAGTAATCTTACATCTTTTTTTGTTATTCTTCATCTTTTTTCTCTCATATTTGTTTAATTGCTTATCTAAACATTGCTTGTCACAGGGTTATTTTCAATACTCTCTTTGGCCTAAGTGTAAATTTCTGGATGGCCATCATCACTAGGTTTTGCCTAGGTAGTTTCAACGGTTTACTTGTTCCTATAAAGGTGTGTTCTCCTCTCAACATTTACATCTTCTATTAACTTGTTCGAAGCTTATTAAACCCGGAAATTTTGATGAATTCAGGCATACGCAATGGAAATAATCCGTGATGAATATCATGCTTTAGCACTCTCAACTGTAAGCACTTGATCCAAAGTTTACATATATATACCCTTCTAAATTGAGTAGAGCAATACAGAATACTATCTAATCATGTAGGTTAGTATAGCATGGGGCATTGGACTCATCATTGGCCCTGCTCTGGGAGGCTTTCTTGCACAGGTTTTCTCAGTAACAAAATTCATTTCAATCCTCTTCTTTCTTGTTTATCACTGTCCCATCTTGATTGATTCTTGTTTAATCTCCGGACCTTGTAGCCTGCAAAGCAATATCCAAGTTTATTCTCAGAGGAATCAATTTGTGGCAAGTAAGTATTACCTTCTTTCTTTACCTCCTCTTCACTTTCATTCAAAAGTCTCATTTGTCTATAAATCATAATATGCAGATTTCCCTACTTTTTACCGTGCTTAGTAATATCTTGTTTTGCAATTTTGGTAACCATAATCTCATTGTTCATTCCGGTACGCTCTTTACTTTCTCATGCTCCATTAGTAATCCCTTGTCACAGTGTTTAGCTTAAACTTAGAAATGTTTTTTTTTCTCCAGGAAACATTGCACAATCACAAGATTGATGATCATGTATCACATGATGAACCTGAATCTCATAAAGTGACTGATAGTAAAAAAGGCTCTCTCCTGAAGAACTGGCCACTGATTTCATCTATTTTAGTCTACTGCATCTTTTCACTTCATGATATGGCTTACACTGAGGTGTGCTACTTTTCCTCACATTCATCTTTGGTTTATATTTTACCCAAAAGTATATAATCTTCAGCTTTTTTTTCTCTTTAATAGATCTTTTCATTGTGGGCTAACAGTCCAAGAAAATATGGAGGTCTGAGCTACTCAACCAATGATGTCGGTACAGTTCTTGCAATCTCAGGTTTGTCTATAATCCTTGCTCTTTCATGTCTCCTGTGTTAATGATGATTCTAGGATTTGAATTAGTCAAGAGTTAAGAAAACATGAATTAATTAGTAGAATTCTTACTAATGAAACTGAGACTTGTGTTATTATTTACTCATCAACAATTCTGCTTTAGGTCTCGGCCTATTCTGCTTTCAGGTCTTTGTTTATCCGTTGGCCGAGAGATTGCTAGGACCTGTGCTGGTCATCCGTTTTGCTGGGGTCAGTTGATATTCTCTTTGATGTGGCTTGTGGTTATGTGCAGTTGATTAGTAATGCAACAAGATATAGATACTTTATTCTGACAGTTTCTTTTTGTTTCAGGCACTGATGATACCAATACAGATGAGTTATCCATTTATAGCTAATTTATCAGGTCTCAGTCTAAGCTTACTGTTGAACTGTGCATCAATCCTCATCAATGTGCTAATTGTAAGTCCAAAAACAAAAGCTAATCCTTTTCTTTTAGCTCTCCTTTGTGTAGTTTACGTATACAGGAATGTCAAAAGTTATGTTCATATATTTCTTGGCTGCTTACGAATTGGTTCCAATCATTTTTGGGTCCTTGTGCAATTTATAAGAGTAATACATGTAAATTATAAAAAACGGACTCTAATTTCTTTTAACAAAGGGTCCTAATCTTTAACTAAAATTTAAAAACAAGATGGGTCCTCTGCAAATGTACCTTCGCGCATGCCTAGAGACGGGCCTGCTTACGATTTTGATACATTTATTTTTTTGTGAATATAGGAGTCTGCCTTAACCGGCTTGATGATCCTGCAAAACAAAGCTGTGGTAAGAATAAGTATACTATTAATCTTTTTGTAAGCATTGGACCAAATTTCTTGTCTTAGTATGTTTTGTAATTTACAACAGGATCAAAGTCAAAGAGGGGCGGCTAATGGAATTGCTATGACTGCCATGTCTCTCTTTAAGACCGTTGGACCAGCTGGAGCTGGCATCTTGTAAGTGTCTCTTCCTAATGAACCTATACATGAAAGAAGCAGCAATGTCTTAAAAACTTAAATCTCTATTGTTGGCAGATTCTCTTGGAGCCAGAGGCGAATAAACGCAACATTTCTACCAGGTGTCATTGCATAATTAACTTCCCTTTGACCATTATCCTTTAATGAAGTGATGTTTATAATTTTTGACCAAAAAAAAAAGAAAAAAAAAGAAAAAAAAAGAAGTGATGTTTATAATACTTATGCTTACACATAAGTAAATTGAAAACGTGTGCAGGATCACACTTGGTGTTCTTCGGCCTGAATGTGATAGTGGTGGTTAGTGTAGCTCTCACGTTCAAGCCATTTCTTACAACGGTTTAGAAGATGAAATCCATAGGAATTGGTGCTAGGGAATTTTATTAGACTCGTTAATTCTCTTACAAGCTATAAAAGTCGTGTCTAAGTTTCCTTGAAATTGAAAATTTTATAACAAAAATTCATATCTGATTACAAACCCGGTTTAAACAAAATTTCCAATTATTTTTAATGAATAACCATAATGATAGATGCAAGTGGGATCCTGCTTTAACCGTGGTTGCATTATAATATATCCCTCTGTTCCTAAAAGATCCATATTCTAGTTTTTTCACACTTTTTAATAAAACACAATAAATTTGCATAGTTTTTTGTATTTATCTTCTTTCTATAATTCTAAACCAATCAAAAATCAATTAGTGCAATTAAGTTTTTTGAAGTTTACAATTATTTAATAAAATATACATTGAAAATGTAAAAAATGGATCTTTTAGAAACAATTTTTTTTTTCTAGAATATGTATCATTAAGGAACGGAGGGAGTAATTATATCGCTAGTTAGCTAATTATAATCAAATCTTTGCGATAGATTTGTTAATGATGTTTTGTGAATTATATCTTCCAACTCATCTGAAAAAAAAAAACAATACGGAACTAAATCTCCATGAAAGAACAAAATCGCAACCGTCCATCGCCGTTTCCGCAGACATGCCGCTTCACTTTTCTTTGTTGTGTAGCTTACACGTCACCACACAAGATAACGGTCTCTTTCTCCACCATGTTCACGTGTGTTTTTTTCCGACAACAACATGCACTTCAAAACAAACCAAACGCAGCCTTATATGGAGAGTGTACCTCACGCGCGATAACTTGCACATGTCATAACTTTGAAAGACTGTTTTCGTACCATTTTGAGGTCATAAACAATAATAATAAGATCTAATAATAAACGTAACTAACCTTGATTAAATACACATAAAACAAATCGGAAACAATGAAAAAGTTGGTGAGAAAGAAACAGTAACATCTTTTACACCAATCACACACATAACGTAATCAAATAGAAGAAAAAACTTTTGCTACAAAACATTCTTTCTTTTAAGAAGAGAGACGACCACGACCACCGTCGCCGGGAAAGTGACGTCACCAATAAAAGTTGTCAATGGGTGTCACAGAGCCTGTAAAGAAGATTTCTCATTTCCTACAAATTTACTCTGTTTTTTTTTTGTTTGCTTAATGTTAAAGATCAATTTTTTTTTTATGTATTAAAGGCAGTTGAAGAGAGAGGAAACAGGGAAGAAGAAACAGAGGAGAAACAGAGAAGAGTAAAGCCTGTGGAGAAGGAGGAAGAAGAATCAAAGGATAAAGAACATCACAGATTCTTGACGAGTTTAAACAGATTAAACCCAACAAACCCTCTTAGGATCATTGTCAACAATGGCGGCGGCGCTAGATTCACTACGCCGCCTCTCCACTCTTCTTCAAGAGTTCCTCCACCGACGCAGACGCCTCCCACTCGCACACAACCGCCGGCAGAGCCTCACCCTCCACCGTCTCCTTCTCCATCAACACCGCCGCCTCAGCCTCAACATCAAACTCGTTCCCTCTTCACACCAACCCCTCAAGTAATCAATATCCTTGTCTGTTAAAGCTTTGTTAGGGTAGTTTCTAAGTTTGGTAAGTTAAAACTTTCCTAATTTATTTTGGTTTGCAGCAAACTTTAGCATCATTGAACTCAACAAAGTACACAAACAAGTTCTTTCTCTTCCTCTTCATACTTCACAAGGTTGTGGCTATAGCCTTTGTTTGCTTCCTTGTCTTCAGAGGCGTAAAAGGTCTAATAGGCTCCAACGGTAGCGTCAAAAGAAAAGAGCAACGGATTCTCAAGTTTCTACTTCCACAAGTCGAAGCTGCGTCATTGCTTAGCATCGTACTCGCGTTCTCCTGGCAAATGGCGTTTCGGCTTTGGCCTGACTTTATGATCCATTTCATTCTTTGGAGTACGTTCTTGATGTCTTTATCCTCAGGGATACTCTTACTGTGTTTCCAGATGCCAGCAACTGATGCTGTGGGCGTTTGTCTCATTGCATTCTCCATTGGGAATGGTTTATATGCTTGTTGGGTCACTCGCAGGATCAAGTTCTGTTCCAAGATATTGGTTAAGTCTTTAGAACCTGTTTCCAAGTTCTCTGATCTGAACTTACCAACTTACTACATGTTAGCTGCTGGCTTCTTGTGGATGTCACTATGGATCTTTGGTGTCATTGGTGCCTTGAACTTCCCTTTTCCTTCGTTAGTGATTATTGCTTTGGTGTTAAGCTTGGCTTGGACGACGGAGGTTATGAGGAATGTTGTTAACTTAACTGTGAGTAGAGTCATTGCTCTGTTCTATCTTAGAGGGATGCAGTCTAGTACAAGGTTTAGTTTCCAAAGGTCCTTGTCTCGTAACCTAGGGAGTGCATGTTTGGGATCTTTGTTTGTTCCAACGATTGAAGCTTTGAGAATATTGGCAAGAGGGTTGAATTTGCTTAAGGGTGAAGATGAGTTCATGTTTTGCTGCGCTAATTGCTGTCTCAATCTCATGACCTTCATATTTGAGCATGGCAATAGCTGGGCCTTTGTGCAGGTACCATGCCACTCTCTCATTTTCTTGTAGTGGAATCATTTTTAATGGAGCAGGTTTAAACAAGTGATATATCATGATCTCTTCTTTTTAAAATAGTCTATGTTTGCTGCATTTCTTTATATAAAAAAGTATCTTCTTACAGAGTATAGTTTTAAAAAATCAACTTGGTATTAGTATAGTGGTGGGTCTTGTTTTCTGATATGAGAATCTTGCATTATCTTGACAACTCGAGGCATAACCACATGCTTTTCTGCATTTTTAGTAATTGTTTTGAATCACCAAAAAAGGTTCTTTAGTATCATAAGAAATGAGTTTAGTAAAGTTTTTATGGGTTATAAATAATTTAAACTTTAAATTTAATTTATAGTATGTATATTGTTATAGATAGCTGCGTATGGGAAGGGATTTGTGAGAGCGTCACAAGACACATGGAAACTGTTTGAGGATGCAGACATGGTTGAGATAGTAGATGCAGACATAACAAGCTCTATCTGTTTCCTCACAGGCATTTGTAGTGGCTGTGTCTGTGTTATTATGGCGGCGGCTTGGACACACACAGTTTACAAACCTTTTACAGCCACCATCTCCTTACTTGCCTTCTTCATTGGATACCTCATGGTAATCACAGTTTTTTTTTTATTTCTTTGGACCATCTAAAATATTTTACTCAGCAATAACTGTGTAATCATAATCATCATTTTTTGTGTGGATGTGTACAAACAGACGAGAATCTCAATGGCATTGCCTCACGCCTGCGTAAGCTGCTACTATGCATGCTACGCTGAGAATTCAGAAAACAGATTCTTCGACAAAACTATAAGAGATAGACAAGCTTTGATCAAGAATGGCCGTGTTGTTGTCCCTACTACCCCTAGAGTCCGCCGTGCAGTAGCCTAGCCCAGCCCAGCCCTGGCTGCTTAATCTCTTTTTTTATTTTTTTCTCCTTCCTGCATGATTGAAATGGCTAGGTTTAAATTCTTCAGAAATCAAATAAATAGTTTTTTAAAATAAAAATTGTATTTAAAAAGCTTGAAAATTAAGTTAGTTACAGTAAGAGTGAAGTGTCAATGACTCACACTGTTAGTGGATAGATAGACAAGAAGAGCTCAATGACATGGACACAATCCAACTAATGTGCCAAAATGTTTTTTCTACTTTCTTGATGGTTGTTGGGACCCCTCGATTACTTTCTGTACATATTTTATTTCTTCATTATATTTTTCGCTCTGTAAAAGGGAATATTCCTTTCTTGATTTTGGAAAGTAGTTGATTTTTGTAAGTGCATGGTTGGTAGATCCATAGAACCTTTAATAAATTATTTCGCTCACAGTTATTTTGCCAGCGAAGAAGCGAGTTTTCAGCCTTTTATCTTAACTCAAGCATTGATCATTATAGTTATATATGGAAATTACAACTAACACCTTGCCCGGACTTGTATTGCCAAAGATAGAAAACTGAAAGTAACACACTGGTAAAAAGTTGATGTGTGAGAGCTGATGTACAAGGAAATGTATACGCTGTAACTAAAGAGGGTGGTAACATGATAATATATCTTGCACTCATTTTTTTTTTTGGTAATCATCTTTCTCTCATTGAACCATAAACTAATGAAAGATCTTATGGAATTTATCAAAAAGCCCATCATTTTTCAGTATTTGACCTTTTCTTAAGCTTATATACCCAAAATCTTATTAGCTTCAGTGAGTTAAGCAACATCAAACATTGGTCTCTTGTGCTACTTATGTAGACTCTATAGTGGCCCTTATATGGGCTTTAACGAGTAAACAAAGTTGTTTTCATATATAGGCCCATAAAAGCCCAATTATAAGAATCATAACTCTCCAATCTCCCACAGACAAAAGTCCAATCTTATCATAACATGAAATCTAAAATCAGCCACGTGATTCGTCCATTTACTTCAACTCCGAAATGACGATGCAACGTCATACGATTTACACATGAACACCAAATACCAAAAAAAAAAAAAACGTGTGGTCGAATTTTTTCGTGGCGTTGAACTAAAAACTAAATCCACAAAAGTGAAAGAAAAGACAAGGAGAGAGATCTCTCTCCCTCTCCCTCCCACACACACACAAACAAATGGTCATCTTGAGCAGGTCGTGGGTAGCCACCGTGAACCACCATGCAAACCCTCACAGCTTCACCTCTCCGACCAAACCCGTCTTCTTTCTTACCCAAAAGCCTCACACTCCCCACGTCTGCTCCTCTCGATGCTCTTTAGTTCTCGAGGAAGATGAAAAGAAGTCACCTGGTCCGAAACAAGACAAGTGGCCCATTTTCGAACCTGCTCCAGATGTCCTTAACCGGGTCTTATCCAAGTTTCTCCGCGACCCGAAAACCCATAAAGTTTCTTCCGAGTTCTACGAGAAAGCCAAGGAGAACTCAGAGTTGAGGACCACCAAGCATCTCATCAACTACTTGGTGAGTTCCAAGAACTGGGACTTGCTCGTCTCGCTTTGTGAGGATCTCAGGGAACATAAAGCGTTCCCTGATGTTCATACGTGTTCTCAACTTATCAGAAGCTGCATCAGGCAGGGGAAATTCAGGATTACTCATTGCTTGCTTAATGTGTTTAGAACAGACAAGTCACTGTCCGTGTCTTCATCTGATTCAGCGATGAAAGGCTTTAACAAGTTACAGATGTATAGTAGCACGATCCAAGTGTTTGATAGGTTGAAACAATCTGTGGATGTTGAGCCAAGCCCTGGCTGTTACTGCAGGATCATGGAGGCTCATGAGAGGATTGGTGATAGTCAAAAGGTGGTGGAGTTGTTTCAAGAGTTTAATAGCAAGAGGTTGAGTTTCTTGGCCAAGGAATCAGGCTCTATCTACACAATCTTATGCTCGTCCCTCGCTAAATCAGGACGAGCACTCGAAGCTCTGGAGTTTCTGGAGGAGATGAAAGATAAAGGCATTCCACAAAGTAGTGCATTGTACTCTACCTTGATCCGTGCCTTGGCTGAGGCCCGGGAGGTTGTAACGGTGGAGAAGCTGTTCAAAGAAGCAGGAGAGAAGAAGATGTTGAAGGATCCAGAGATGTGTTTGAAGGTTGTATTGATGTACGTAAGAGAAGGAGCCATGGAGAGAACTCTAGAGGTTGTGGCTGTGATGAGGAAGAGCGACTTGAAGGTCACTGACTGCATTTTCTGCGCGATTGTGAATGGATTCTGTAAACAAAGAGGCTTTGCTGAAGCAGTCAAGGCTTATGAGTGGCTTATGAAGCAAGAATGCGAGGCTGGACAAGTGACTTACGCGATAACAATCAATGCATACTGTCGGCTAGAGGAGCACGACAAGGCTGAGATGCTGTTTGAAGAGATGGTGAAGAAGGGTTTTGACAAATGCGTTGTTGCATACTCAAACATAATAGATATGTACGGGAAGACAAGGAGGCTAAGCGACGCGGTGAAGCTAATGGCTAAGATGAAACAAAGAGGATGTAGACCCAACATTTGGATCTACAACTCCTTGATTGATATGCATGGGAGAGCTATGGACTTGAGGCGGGTGGAAAAGATATGGAAAGAGATGAAGAGGATGAAGGTGTTGCCTGATAAAGTGAGCTACACAAGCATGATCAGTGGGTATAACAGAGGAAAGGAGTTTGAGAGGTGTGTGGAGCTTTACCATGAGTTTAGGATGAACAGAGGAAAGATTGATAGAGCCATGGCGGGAATCATGGTTGGTGTATTCTCCAAAACCAGCAGGATTGATGAGCTAATCAGGCTGTTGCAGGACATGAAAGCCGAAAGAACTAAGTTTGATGCGAGGCTCTATTCATCAGCTTTGAATGCTCTCCGTGATGCTGGACTTAACTCACAGATCAGATGGTTGCAGGAAAGCTTTGACATATCACAACAAACTAGTGGTTCAAGATATTCCAATATGAAGAACAAAAGAACTTTGCAGAGTTCTTGAAAAGGAAACTGTAGAAGTCAAGATTCTTTTGTAAACTATATTGTCACACAGTTCTGTTATATCTTGCAAATAGAAGATTTCCATATCTAAAGTTTGTAAAGCCTTAAAAGGAAAAACAATGTTGGTACTTCTGAAACATTGATACATAGAAAAGACAACACAAAGAGTGGTTACCAAAATGTATTTAACACTCAACAAAATCATTATAAATGGAAAACAGTGAGCAGTATTAGAGCAAACACACTCATCACACAGTCACCTGCTTTTGAGTCTTATTTGGAACTTGTTGCTTGAGTTGTTTCAACAACTTTAGCATCACCTGAACAACATCCACCTCCATGGTGATGATGATGATGATGACCGCCGCCGCTGCCGCCATGGTGATTGTTCTGCTTACCCTTGAGATTCTTCCTCATGTCATAAGCATCCTCTCCATCAGCGTAATACTTAGCTTCCACATCGTTAATCTGATAGCCTAACGTCTCCGTGTACAGATTAAACGCTGCTCTGTTACTCCTCCTCACATGCAATGACACATACTCTGCCCCATAAACCTACCACAATGATTCAATCAGTTACATAACAATCAGAGATTCCAAACAACGATTCCAATCAAGATTCCAATCAAAAATTCCAATCAAGATTCTAATCAAAATTTCCAATCAACATTCTAATCAAGATTCCAATCAAGATTCCAATTAAGATTCCAATCAAAGATTCCAATCAAGAATTTAATAACCTGTTCCATGGCGGCCTGAGCAGCGGTCATGAGCTTAGTAGCGAGACCGAGCTTGCGATGAGTGCGGAGAACGGCGAGGGAAGTGATGTGGCCGTGGCACTCGTTGCTCTCCTCTTCCATCTTGGCGAGGACGTAGCCGACGATGCGGCCGTTGTAATCCTCGGCGACGTAGAGAAGCTGAGGCCAAGAGAGGATGTGGTAGAGGTAGTACTTCATCTGGTAATTCTCGGGGAGGCACATGAGGTTGCAGGCTTGCATCGCAAGCAGATCGTCCACCGTTGCTCGCCTGATGCACACCATGGCTTGGCTGCTCGATGTTTCTCTCTCGAAGGGGGATTAGGGTTTTTGGTGTAGTGAGTGGCTTTGGGATTTAATCTGGGGATGGTTTTTGTCTTTTTGATAATGGATAAATATGGGGTTCTTTTGGAATTTAGCTGATAGTTTTAGGGTATTTTAATAATTAAGTAAAAATCATTTAACTTTTTTTTTTATCAGTATTCTAAAAATCTATTTAGTAGGGACAAAACGGATCAGATATATGGGTATTTTAGTATACTGTATATGGATCCATATTCGTCGAATCCATAAAATTACTATTCAAATCTCGATTCTGGCCATCTGGATATTTGGGGTTTGGATATCCGGACTACAACTAGAATACCAAGAAATATCCAAATCTTTTTTAAAAATAAAAACTCAAAATTTAATTTAAAATTTAATTTTATATTAAATTAAAATTCATTTATTTTTAAAAGTAAAATTAATTTTATTTTTTATATCAATATTCTAAAAATTGATTTAAGTAGGAATGACAAATCGGTTATAAACAAAACAATTTATAACCTGATTTATGTATTTTATATTGATTTACGTTTTTTAAAACCGGTTAAAATGAGTTTAAATCTATCTAAATTGTGCTAAATCTATCAAATTAAACAATGATAATAGTGTAAATCCACAAAAAAATATATTTTTTTATTTTTATGTTTACTTGTATAATTTATCAAAATATTTTTTTATAATTAAATTCAAAATTAAAATATCTAATATAAATATAAAAATTAATAATTTATTAGTGCAAATAATGTTGAAGATAGGTGTTAAGACATACTCTAGTGTGGCTTTGATGCTCTATGTAATGGAGGAGTAGAGGAAGCTTCATTACACGTATGATAGATAGAGCGAGATCTCGAGAGCTTGTGGTGGTGACATCTTGTACTGCTCTTACCAATATATGATCTTAATGTAATCATCTAACAACATTATAGCATATCATAGATTACAACTATATCTAACATTAGACAACGACCATGACTGTTGCATGCTACTATCTATGCAGACTTCCCTCTTAAAACCTTTACTAAACTGGCTCTAAAGGCTTCTCCAACTCCACGCCAGAAAGTATACTTTGAACCGTTCAAACACAGTTTCACTGATTTCTTCCAACCATCTTCTCCTCTCGGAAACTCTATTTCCCGAGCAACAATGCTGGACTCCTCCCAATCTTCTTCTTCACCATCTTCCATAAGCGGCAGCGTTTCAAAACCACCAGACTCCAGGTGTTTTATCCACCCACGCATCAGATAGTTCACCACCTGCTCGTTATCATATACCAAAAGGGGTCCATTATTTAAATCCAAAGCTATCTTTTTCTTTTTTTTTGAAGAAAGTTTGTGTGTACCTACCTCAGGGACTTCATCGTGTGGGCAGTGACCAGCTGGACTGATCTCGTAGTAAGGAGCGTTGGGGATTTCCTTCTTTATCTTCTTTCCCCATATAGGTCCCACCCATGGATCTTCTTTTCCATACATTAAACATATAGGAACACTGTTTTCCTTACACCTATCAAAAGAAAGACACCATTAAAATATTAGCACATTCCCGAATAAGACCAAACACACAAGAGGAGGGAGAAAGAAACATATAGGACGACAAGAGAGCCGTACTGTTTTAAAGCATTAGAAAAAGATAGCTGTCCACCAGGAGCAAACATGATTGAAGCAAAGGACGAAGCAGCAGCAGGATGCTGCGTGATCTCCACAATACGTGTGAATACTTTATCCACATCCGTGGAATGGTCTTTGTAGACTTGTTTAAGTATCTCAGCTATGCTTTCAGGATCACTTATCTTCTGCCACCTGCGATTCCATCCACATACAAGATATATATATTTAGTCTTATTGATCTGGAAGATGTGTTAAATAAAGTGTGTTACTTACACCAAATTTGTTAGTTTTTTCACTCTTGACGGAAGAGGGAATGTTCCAGACCATGGAAAGAGACGTGCTAGCAGCGGGGATCTTATACGATTAGGGAAGAAACCCCAGAAAGGTGTTGCATTAAGCAACGTAACACCTTTCACCAGATGAGGATGGCTTGCTGCAAAGTAGAGAGCTACGTATCCTCCAAGTGAGTTCCCTGCAATGTACACTGGCTCACCAATAACCTGTACAATAAATACACTTAACAAAGAGAAAACAAAACAAGTGAAGAGCAAAAGTATAATTGTCACCTCTTGTACAATATATTGAACTTGATCCCTCCAAAGATCCAACGAGTAAACGAGTTGATCAGCCCATGGTTCAGCTTCATCACCAAATCCCCAAAACGGCTCACTATTTAGCAAAGCATCTGTTTCTCCAGACATGGTAGTAGTAGTAGGGTCTTGAGTGGGGAGAGATAAGCCTTGGCCAACAAAATCAATAGCCCATACTCTATAGTCCCTTCCCAAATCCGTAAGCTGCTTCTCGTAGTGAAATGAACCAACACCAAAGCCAGGAAGAAACAACACTGCAGGAGCCTCCACGTTGCCACAACCAGATTTTTCATAATGTACTGTGAGGTTAGGCTTCCACTCGCAGTGAGAAGTAGTGATTTGAGCAGAAGCAGACTCGTCAGGCAAACCAGGAATCAGAACCTTTGACCTTGATTCTCCTCTTATTGCTATAGTACTACCTAAGTCATCATTCTCATCATTCTCATCAACTACATAACCATCTACAGTTCCATTTCGAATCACAAGTTTGCACTTCCTGATAACACCACCAGATGATAAGATGTTTGATCTATTTGGGACCAATCTGTTATTGGCGGGTTTACTACTCCAAGTGACCACAGAACACTGAGGCAGGAAGTTCTGTGAGATTATCTCCATTACCAAAAGTAGTGTCCTGTAATGAATACTCAGTTTCTCAACTTCTTCATAACAAAATCGAGAATCACAAGGAAAAACCACAGACGGTAAGAGCCAAGTTTCTGTTTAGATTTTCAGACATAAGACTTCAAAAGCTGAGACCACCACATACAAAGAGTTGTGGTAATCTAGTATGCATGAATCATCATCCTCTTAAAAAAATCTAAATAAGAGTATAGGAAAATCAAGGTTCCAGCAATTATCTAACTAAATCAAGAATAGATAGATAGAGTGTTGTAGCTTTATATGTACCTTTTCAAATTCACTTCATCTAATGGGAATAAGTTTTTGCAGAGAGTAAACCGTCTCTGTGACAGATGTGTATAAGAAAGAAAGAAGGTAGAGACTTTGGTTGCTTTTGCTTGCTTGCTGGCTTGGCTAACTTCGCGATCGCGACAACAACGTGTCTTTGTTTTGAGATTCTATTCATATTTGTCAAAGGATTCCAATAATTACAAGTGTAAACTCTCTGAAAGAAGCCAAGGAACACAAGTACACAACACTCTCACCGTTTCTTCTTTCTTCATCTTCTCGAGTCACTTTCTAACACTTTTGTTTCCTTACAAGTTACAACAACCCAAACCCATACTATAGGCCCAAATTCAAAGGCCCATTTCTAAATCCACTTAGCTCCTTACAGCATAGTTACTATTATTTCGGTTTGTAATGTAGTTTTTTAATAATCCAACCACGTTTTATCAAATAACCTGTTTTTTTCCTCACAAATTCTTCCACATTTTTCCTGCCTACTCAGCCTTTCCATATCATTTTTATTAAGAAATTTCATCATGTATTATGTATATACGAATCTCTGCTGAAAAAATATATATGTGAATTTGTAATCAGCAGATTCTTGGCTTATTTTTTTTTTCCTTTTAGCACGAGGAAATTCTTTTTACGTTTGGTGTATCATCTTTTCTTCTTTCTTTTCAATTTTATATATTAGTCACAGTTGTCGGTTACAGATTGTTTTTCACGCAACGCTCTCCACTTTATTCAAAAGGTTACTTGAACAGGTGAACAACTTAACGACTCGTATCTCCCTCGCTCACGCATCCTCCTCCCATTTAATGAACACCTTATTTATTGTTACTAGCTAGACCATACCATACACGCTGCTAACAGATTCAAACCATATACATGAATGTGGATGTTTATTACAACAGAACAAAAAAAATCAGCATGCTAACGTGAACTAGTGAAATGATTTTATTGTTGTGAACTCTAGTTTTCATATTCGACGATTTTTGTAAAAAAAAAAAATTCCAAATGAGGACAACACCTAGTCATTTATTCACAACGATAATGTAATTAAAATATGTAAGGATATGAGATCAAACACATCTGTAAATCTGATTTTCATCATACAGAAGATGAAGATTTCAAAGATAAAAAACACCTGTTATTTATGAAATATAATGGGATATATCAGCTAGTTTTAATGTAGGTTTTAACTTATTATTATTTATGAGTATATATTTACGTCCTTGGTGCCATATGAAACAATGTGAAAGGGTCCTGTGAAGTAGAACGATTGTTTATATAATAGATGTAAAAGTTAGGGTAAAACATAAGATATTGATATTTTTTTGGGGCTAAATGATTATTATAACAATTTTGATATTGTTACCAGAATATGAGAAGTTGAGAACCATGTGATGATTCCGTGACTGCTTTACTCCAACTTGGTGACAGAGAGAAATAAAAGAACCAAAGCTGTTTATCCAGACGAACTCGCCAACGGGTGAAGATCAGATCTTCGACTCCTTCTTCTTTTCACATTGTTCCATAAGGGAGTGATAAAAGAATTACGTCACTTAAAATGATTACAATATATTTTAAGCATGGTTCAAACCGCACCAACCACACTACAACTAACATTTAGTGACTTATTACTTGCCAATTTAGAAACCGATGTATTAGAAATATATACTGCTTACATATACATAAGAAGTTAGCATATATTCTTGAGGAGCTATGCATAACTTGATTTTTTCAAAGTTGGAAGAGAAATTAGCTAGTAGCTAGCATGATATATAGCCGATGGAAACCGATCGAATTATAATATGTTGGTAATATATATATAAGTGTGTATATATAATTAATGTACAAGAAACACAACACATGGATCTCTTTCATATACAATGACGTTGATATAAATCCAACATAATCGGCGTATTAAACATTAAGAAAATGCGTGAGGGGGTCTGAGTGTGACGAATGACGATCAACCATGTGAAATTTTGTTTATATATAATAGTCTTTCTTCTTTCATTATTTAGAGTATTTGTTATTTAACTACATATCGGGATAAGCTTGTGCCAACTGACTTTCAAATTGAATGGAATAATCCTTGATTTGTTAGGTTGTTGGATCTCATGAACATTTATAACAAAAACAATCCGCAACAAAAGAATATTTTAGTGATATATATATACAGTGATTTAACAGTTTTATATAACTAAGAATATGCTTTCTTTGAAGATGTACTTTGCCAACAAAAAATAAACCGGTAAAATGTTTAGAAAATAAAATAAAATGGATAAATATCATAAATTTACAAGGATTTTCTTATAGAAATCAATTTAAAGAGCTTTGAAATATATTAATTGGAAAGAAATCAAAATTATTCAAAAATATCTAATGAACTTAAATTATACTACCTCACACGACTTAAATTAAATGAAGACGTCAAATCAAAGCATAAAAGATTCGCTTTAAAAATCAGAGAACCCACTCACTCGGAGTCTCGGACAATTAATTTCGTGAAGGAAAAAAGAAAAGAAATCGGAAGTCTAATTCCACATCAGCAAAAGAAAACACGTGGACCAATAATGAATAAACGTGCAAGGAAGAGAAAAAGTGGGGATCCACGAGTCATCAACATCCTCACAATAATATTCCCTCAAATGGGAATAAAAATATTTGATCCAATCACGTAATTATTACTAACTCTTAACGAAAACTAAGAATCGTGGAGTGAGAGGATGATCCACGTGTCGTTAGTGGAAAACAAAATAGGGCGGAGAACTGAGCAGAGCGACCGGCTACAGGCAGTAAAACGATATCCATAGAACCGACATATCCGGTCGTGTGGTGAATATATTTTTGTAATTTTCTGGAAAAAAAAAAGAATAAATTTGCGGGGGTTTAAAGGGTTTTATGTCTTCTCCTTCTTCTTCTTCCTTATTTCTTTTCTAGATGATGGCGAAATCTTGATCCTAAAACTCTTCAAAGTCTTTTGTGAATTTCTTCCCCCATTGTATAGCAATTGTTGTGAAATCAGATTCGTGTGGGTAGTTTACTGCGTAATTCGGAGATCTTCCCGGTTTGCGTGATCTATAATTAACCGGTTCGAGGAGGATTAGGTCAGTTTTTGCATCACGATTCATGATCTCGACTCTGTTGTAAGCTCAGGGTTCTGAGCTGGATGACAGGAGTGTTACACAGACAGGAGACTGTGTCACACACGAGTGAGCTCAAGTTGAGTTGAGCGAAAAAGGCTGAGGTGTTACACAACGTGGAGCGAGTGTTACACCAAGAGCGAAATACAAGGAGCCGTTTGGAAGATAATGACCCAAGATTCTAGGATGTTTGTTAGGGAACAAACAAGAAGATATTGAGAGAATCTTTAC